TTCATCATATTTTAGTAAATCCCATTAAACTGTTTCAGCTCCAGACCGGCCGTCCCTGATCCGGTGGTTCTGTTGGGTCTCTGGATCTGACCTGCATAATGTCTGAGGTTCTGGAGGCGCCGTGTTGGCAGTGGGTCGGGTCAGAATCCGATCTAATCAGAAACGTTAGCTCCGCTAACATAAAGCGCTAAACCAAAACGGTAAATAAGAGCCTGAATATGAACGGCTAACTACTGGAAGAATTTGAAGAAATTAATAATCAAAAATTCAACACGGATATTGAACTTTATTCAACTGAAGGTTAATGAAACAGTTAACACTTTTCAAATTATCTGGAAAAATTCATTTACAGGAAGCTAAGTGTGCTAGGCGTTTTCTAAGTTGGCTGAAGCGCTAAACCAAAAATTTCTGTGTCGATGACTGATCCTTCACCAGAAGCTTTTACCTCCTGGACCTCCTGAGATAAATTAGCTCCATTACCTCCTGATGTAAAACTCCTCCATCGCTGTTCTTTGGAGGCTAAACGTTGCTGCCAGACCTCAGGAACAGGAGGGAGACGTGGCGGCGGTCGGTTTACCAGTCTCTCTCTGACGTACGTGATGTTCGCTGTCTTTAAGGAAACAACCAAAACAATCTGAACGTCTCGTTTGTCCTGAATCAAATCAGAACAGTTTCCTGTTTCCACAAACCTCCAGTAATTTGACCAGATTCAGAACGGAGGTGAAATTTTCATGAGATGTTTCTGCTGTCAGCTGTCTGACTTCATCTGGAGGAAGAAACTGGAGAAATCCACCAGAAGTGGCTTCATTTCTGCAGCTTCATGTTTAATTTAAGGACGATTGTCTCCATGAATCACTTCCTCATTGTTCAGCTTCGGACTGAAGAGTTTCTGACATGTTGAACTCTGACCTCCAACATTTTCTCTCTTTTCCTGGATCCTTTTCCTCATCGTTTCTCTTTCATAATTGCAGTAATTAAAGGTGTGAAGCTTTGTGATGCTGGTCACATCTGGCCTGTTTTCTCACCGTCTCCGTTGAACATCTCCTGTGTTTCATCTGCTGTCAGGCTGAATGGAAACTTAGTGTCACAAATCATATTTGGGCTGTTTAGTCTGTCATAGGAGAAAATAAAGGGTTTAATGTAATATCTTAAATATATATTCACTCATTTATTTCTAAATGTCACAGATCCATACTGTCTAATTTGAAAGCTAAATATTTACCTCCAAACTAAATATTTAGTTGTTTTTTTTAAATAAAATATATAGTTAGTGAGCTACGTTTTTAATTGGCAATCAAAATCTTTAGTTCAAAATGATATTTAATTAGCAAATTAAATATTTAACTAGCAAGCTAAATATCCAACTCTAAACTAAATATTTAATTGGCGAACAAAATATATATAGCTTGACGCTGACATTTACAAACATGTCTTTCTCCTATGATGAGCTAAATAACCCAAATTCTAGCTGCAAATGTTTGGCTGTGTAAGTTGTAAGAACCGTTTTCTGACGCGATGGTCCATCTTTGACCTAAATAGCAAACGCAGCTGAGCTAGCTAAGTGTGCTAACCGCACAGCCACAGAGGGAAGCAGCTGCTGATGATTCTCTACTGGTTAACTTTGTGTTTCTTGTCAGTTTTCTGGGACGCTCTGAAACGTCCTCTGGTCGGTTCTGGATGAAATGTCCCTGTGACTCTATAGATCTGGTGGTGGAGAGATTTCACTCCGCTCAGATAAAACGGTACGAGTTGTTTGTTTGAAAGCTGAACCTCGTTTAGTCGCTGCGGCTTCGACCGCCATGATGAGCTGAACGTCTTCCACCTGTTCTAACCCTCACTTTATTCAGCAGCTTTAATAAAACAGCAAATATCAACCCGCAGAATCTGAATTAACTGTTGGAAAAAAGACAAGCAGCTCTGACTGTGTACACACCGGTTACATGGAAACCCACCGCAGCGGTAACGTCACGGAGCGGGGCGGTTTCCCCAGTCGGGTGACCTTTCACCTCTTTATTCTTCACCCTGCATGTGAAATCAGATGAATATGAATGAAGCACATTGTCTTTTTATTGACATTCGCTTCATGCCGAGCCGGTTTGGCAGCCGCCTGCGCGCGGTGGCGAGCCCCGCCCCCTGCCTCATGAATATTAATGAGCGGGCAGCCGAGATGGAGAGGCGGCATCAGGATGACAGACGGCGGCATTTCGGACCGGCGGCCGCTGCTCACTGGACCGCGGCTCCATAAAACAGCATTAATTCACACTTTATGCAACACATGGCCGTAATACGACATCTGGCTCCGACTGCTGAACATAAAGCAGCTTTATAGTTTAGATGTTTTCCTTCCTGCGTTTCTCTGCTGAGGAAATAAATGTTGGTTTTCAGATGCAGATTGATCTTTAGTCATTACAGAAAATAAATGAGATGAAACAGAAAACCCAGAGTAGAAATATATTATTGAAGCAATCAGACATTTTCTTGTTTTCTCTGATTCTTGATGTTTTTTCTTTATCTGTCAGATTTTACACCTGAAAAATATTAATAACCTTAACTGTGAAAAGACAAATGAAATAGAGAGTGAGGCCTGAGACTTTACATAGAAATTAGCATTAATTTAATTAATTACACAGATTTTAAACACCCTAAAAACTTTAATGTAATTAATGAAAAATATTTTAGTTTTACATACAAAAGTTCCGGGTGGAACCTTTATAGTGCGTTTCTGGTACACCTGTAAATCTGCCGCACAAACTACAACTGCTAACAGCAGCGATGAAGCGGTGCGGCGTAGCGGGACAGATGTAGCCGTGTCGTTAGCGTACACGCTCGCCGGTTATTAACGGCTTCATGACGTCTCGTTTCCTGCTGCTGACTCAGACGCTCTGCTGAGGTGAATCATCAGTTTTTGGATGTTTTGCTGTCAGGATATTCTGATATTCCCTCCCCTCAGAGGACCGGCTGCGGTGAATGAACTCGGAGATGACTGAGGGGGAAACCTGGACGTTCAGTTTAACGATTCATTCATTTATTTATTTGTTGTTTTTTAATCCAACAAACCCAAACGTCAGTGTTTCAGAAGGATAAAAATGTTCTGATTGGACGGTTCGGTTCAGAGTCTGCTTCTGGGCCGGTGTTATGCCCAGAAACGCATGCCTGCCCAAAATTGCATCCCCTCTCGCGGGAGCACGCATTTGGGGAGAATAGAGGGGGGATGCATATCGTGGCAGGCTGGAAATCCATGTTGCCAAAAAATGCATCCCTGTGCTAACCTGGAGAAATGGAGAGTTAAGGGTGAAATAACTTTTTCTACATAGAGTAGTTCCATGATCTGCTGGTATAAGTTTTAAATCACTAGAATAATATTTGAGGAAAATAAAGAGGGGATGCATATTTTGGCAGGCTGGAAAAGCAAATTGCCAAAAAATGCATACCTGTGCTAACTTGGAGAAATAAAGAGCTGAAAGGATTTCACCTTTTCTACGTAATGACACTTGTTCTCTGAGCTAATGCTATAATTTTTATATCAACAGGATGGATGCAAATATTTTCAGGCTCATGAATTAAAATGCATTCCCTCCTACATTAACAGACTAGAAAGTTAAGCATGATGTAAAATGTTCTACATATTGGACCTCTGTTTTGTAATGCTTTTAAGCTGTTATGGTATCAAAAGAAAAAACAGAGAATTTCAAACCATTTGCGGAGAACGTTTTCAACAGACACGGGCTGAAAAAAAGTTCGACTCATATGTGTCAATAAAGGTGTAAAAACCGTATTTATTTCAAGTAATTTGCGAAATAAAACCCACCATTTTAGGGATTACATGGTTAAGAAACGTGATAATGTTACAAATATCTTTAAAATTTCCTCTTCGGTCATATTTCAGTCCGTTTTCTCGTCAATATGCGAGAGAACAGAGCGATGCGCGCTCCCGCGAGAGGGGATGCAATTTTGGGCAGGCATGCGTTTCTGGGCATAACACCGGGCTCCTTCTGCATGAATTCCTGATGTGTTCAGGAACCGCAGGTCGCTTTAACACCAGGTTCTGTGGATTCTGGTCAGGTTCTGGTTCTTCCACTGATACCAACACTAACTTAGTTTAGTGCTTTAGCATAAAGTTTGAAATGTTTAGCACACCTGCTTCCCTTCACTAGTTTATTTATGCATGAAGCGGTCCGAGACCCTCGGTGAAGAACAGACTCGGACGGAGTAATCCTGCGGGTCGGTCCGGCGCCGGTCTGCTCCCAGGTTGATTGTAGGTCAGTTTCATAATGAGTGACGTAACATTGATGCAGTAGATTAGAGCGGCTGAAGCTGGACGCTGCCGGGTCGCAGCTGGACGGACGGACAGGAACATCTGCATGGCTTCCAAAAACGCTAAACCTTTGCATCTTAGCAAGAGTGTGCTCACAGCAGGCCTGGACTTTGACTAGGCCATTCTAACATGACTCAGTTTTGATCCAAACCATCCCATAATATTTTAGCTTTACTTCTAACATGGTGTGAATATGTTCCTATAAAGCAGCATGCCAGGATGACCTCTGACCTTTGTCTCAGTTGAGGGACTCAGCTGCTCCTCCAGAGGCAACAGGAGGTACTGCATGCTGAGGATGTCAGAGTGATTAATAACAACAATCAATAACATCCAAGATGGTTCCCGTGGTGACGGCTTTAACTCCTGGAGGTTCTCAGCCAAAACTGCTGGTCCTCCAGAACAGTGTGAGTGTGTGTGTGTGTGTGTGTGTGTGTGTGTGTGTGTGTGTGTGTGTGTGTGTGTGTTGGTTCTGTCTGTCGGTCCAGTTTATTTTTTTACTATGTAAATCACTTATTTAATCTTTTTTAAAAATCATTATTTATTTAATCTTATTTCTTTTTATTATTTTACATTTGAGTTTTATCAGTAACGTCCAGCATCTGTTTGACTCTCTGTATAATCTTGACTTTAGCGCCCCCTTCAGGTGTTTCCTCCCTGTAATGTAAACAGTAATTATTTTCCTCAGGTGGACGGATCAACTGACCCTCTGATTAGAACCGGGCCTCACTGGCGGCCATGGCGGCCCAGCTACTCCTCCTCTTCCTCTCCCTCTTCCTGTTGGTCTCCATGGCGACTGGAGACGCTCAGTTCCCGTCTGGACAGCGGATGAAGCCGCGCATCCAGAGAGACAGACGCAACATCCGGCCGAACATCATCCTCATCCTGACGGACGACCAGGACGTGGAGCTCGGTGCGGAATCATGGGAAATGTAGTCCTCATTCTGACTGAGGCAGATGAACGTTTTCAGTCTGAGCCACATAAACCTGATTAGTTTCTGTAGCCGTTGATTAGCATCATGACGCTAACGAGCTGCTGCTTCGCCGTTTCACTTCTTGGTTCCTGATGGGCTTTTCTCCGTTCAGGATCCATGCAGGCCATGAACAAAACGCGCCGCATCATGGAGGAGGGCGGGACCTTCTTCTCCAACGCCTTCGTGACCACGCCCATGTGCTGCCCGTCGCGTTCGAGCATGCTCACTGGGAAGTAAGTCTCAGCCAATCACAGCAGGCCGCTGGGTCTGATCCAAACTGAACTGAACTGGATCCCAGTTCAGTTCAGTTCATTACATTAGAAGTATTAATAAGCAGAGAGATTGGTCACTCTGCAGCTTGATTTATCTGGGACTTTAACTTGACATCAAGTCAGACTGACGCGGCGGTAGGGGAAGTGGTGCTGCCACCTGCAGGTGGGAGGTGGCAGCAGCATCACTGTAAATTTAATGTTTTTGACCATTTTTATGGAAAATTTGTAATGAGCTCAGTTATTAATCAGGTATTGCCACAGAAAAATTCAAGCATCTATTTATTTTGCGTGAATTTCACAGAATCACAAAAACTGGAGCAACTGAAGAGTGGAAATATTTTATTATGAAGTCATTTTTTGTTGTTTTTACTTCATTGTTTTAAAAAATGTCCCATTGAAGAAAACAAGCCAAACTTAAAAGCTAAAATAATATTTTTTCCTTGGAGGTGAAGGAGAAACAAGCTGCTGAGTTTTGAAGAGTGAAGCTGCTTTTGAGTCGTAAAGAAGTGATTTCATCTGGACTGGAGGTCAAACTGTCCGTAAGGCTGGTGAAGGTCGCTGACCTCTGGTCCAGTTTGATCTGCTGCAGCAGATTCAATAAATCAGTTTTTATAACCATATGAAGCCAGTCAGGAACCAAACGGACCCAACCTGCTGCAGTTACAATAAACTGCTGGTCTAAATTTAAATTATGACATTTTGAAAAGGTTTTATTCTTGAGTTGAACTCGTCCTGATTTATCGAAATGTTTTATTTTCTAACTGATGTTTAAGCCTTCAGCTTCTTCTCCTCTCAGATACGTCCACAACCACAACACCTACACCAACAACGAGAACTGCTCGTCGTTGTCATGGCAACGCCAGCACGAACCGCGGACCTTCGGCGTCTACCTCAACAACACGGGATACCGAACAGGTGAGTGGGCCGCTTCGACGGTCCGGTCCGGTACGGGCCAAGCCTCTAATGCGCTAGCAGCAAAGCTAACATTTAGCACTTTGACTAGCTTTGAAGACGTTTAGCGCTCTTAGCTAACGCTAATTTACTTTAGTGTTTTATAAACTTGAATAAATTTCAACGTCAGCTGTTAATAATTCCTCAGATAGTTGCACATTTATATTCATGCTCTTATTTTGAAGTGGAGAAAGACAGATGTTCAGGAACCATTAAAACGTTGTTGAACTTATAAGTTATAATAAAATTAATTTCTTGCTGAGGATGGTACTCTTTAAGGGCAGATATAATTTGAATTGAAGCTAGCGCATTAGCACTTTAGCGTTAGCTTCTGCTAAGTGTTGTGTTGATATAATGCTTTAACTAAGCTAATGTATAGGGTTAGTGCTTAGCCACCCTCAGTGGTGAGAATGCTAATAAACTATCAACATGGTTCATGTTAGCATGTTAGCATTAGCTTCTGCTAAATACCATGTTGGTTTAGCGTTTAGCATGAGAAAAGGGAATGTTTATGAATTTAGTTAGCAGCTGATATTAAACATGTTTTTGGTTCTTTATCAAGTTATTCAGTAAAATCTGTTTGTCAGTAAATGAGTGAAGTTAAACTCTAAGCGTCCAAAAAAAGCACATCTGCCCGGATCAGGACTGATGCTGGATGAGTGATGAGCAGAACCGTTTCCATGGAGATGAGGAGGTTTGGTTCCTGCAGCGCTCTGACTCTGTTGTCATCCTGGCAGCTTTCTTCGGGAAGTACCTGAACGAGTACAACGGCTCGTACGTCCCTGCCGGGTGGAGGGAGTGGCTGGGCCTGGTGAAGAACAGCCGCTTCTACAACTACACTCTGAGCCGCAACGGCGTCCGGGAGAAACACGGAGCGCAGTACCCTCAGGTCAGACCACACGGCAGGGCGCCGCTGCTCTGGGGTCTAATCAGCCGGGGAACCAAAGGTTGGTCCGGTCCGCTCCGGTTCAGAATCTGAAGGATTTTATTCTCATTGTCACAAAGACAACGAAATTGCAGTTTCAGTTACAACCATCCATTACGCAACAACACGAGGGGGGTGGGGGGTAGTTGGCTGAGGCCTTGCAGCCCGACAGGCGCCGCCCTGCAGGAGGAAATAGGAAAAATAAGGAAAACATCAGGCAAGGAGAGGAACAAAAAGCCCGTCTCACTCTCTGCTCTTTGCAGGGCAAAAAAAGAAAACCTCAGCACATATAAACACATATAGACAAAACTAGCCGGGTACGAAGGAGGAGTTCAGCTTCAGCCATATTCAGAAAATCAGACTCTTTAGGGCCAGATTGAAGAGAAATACTGCTGAAGTTCTGGTTCCAACAGAACCGGCTCTACCGGACCATCTGGGAATCAGCTTTTGATGGATCTCTGGTCCAACAAACCCAGCTGGGTTCCAGCACTGAGGTCCAGTTCTGAGGATCCACCGATTCAGAAAGTATTCACACCCCTCAAACTTCAAAAGCATTTACAGCCCCTTTACTCTGATACCACCGAGGGAAACCAGCTGTGTGTTTTATGCTCAGTCCAAATGCAGCGATTCTACGAAGCCTAAGATTCGGATGAGAGCAACCAGAACCGCCTTTGGTCCAACAGAACCTGATGTGGACCAGCCGGTTCCAACCTGCTGCTCTCCTGTTTGTCCCTCTGTGTCTCCAGGACTACCTGACCGACCTGATCACAGCCGAGTCCATCCGCTACTTCCGCTCCTCGAAGCGGATCTACCCGCACCGGCCGGTCCTGATGGTTCTGAGCCACGCCGCGCCGCACGGACCCGAAGACTCGGCGCCGCAGTACAGCGACGCCTTCGCCAACGCGTCACAGCACATGTAGGCAAATCAGACGGCTGTGTTCAATGAGACAAAACTTTATTAATGTTCTGGAGGAGAAACACACACACACACACACACACACACAC